GAATAGGAAACCCCTGTTGGGGCACCTACCGCAGGCACCCCGGCCTGCCCCCAGGGGTCCTGGCCCAGAAACTCCCACCACAGCCAGCCCACCTGGGGGAGCGGGTGGGGCCGGGGTTTGTGTCTGTGAGGAAGAGGGTGAAGGCACGCAGGGGAGGGTGCGGATAAACAGTCAGGAGAGGGGAATGTGCAGGGTGTTTGTTTCCTGGGCACGGTGACACCGCGCTCCCAAATCTGGGGAGAAGGCGCGGCTCCAGGCCCCAGTTCCCTGAGCCTCCTCCTGTTGCCTTTTGGCTGCCAGGGTGCTCTGGCTGCTTCGAAGCCAGGTCCCCGGGCGGCTTCTCCACGCAAACCGCTGGCTCCCCAGGGCCTGGGCGGCTTTCCCGCCTCCCTGGGGGTGCCTTGGGGCTGGGCACAGGAACCCGGGGGGGCCCCCTCCTCTCCTCCCCTCCCCTCTCCCACCTTCCTGACCCAGCCCAGGAGGGCCCTGCAGTGCTTTGCATCCAAAAGGGAGCTTTCCTCGGTGGAACAAACACCAGCTTTAGACAGAGAGGGTGTGGGTTCAGTCCCCCGCCCTGCCCTGCTGTGCTGTGACTTTAGCCAGTCTGCCGTCAGGGGCCATGGGCCAGGCCGAGTGGGGACACGGGCTGGGCCTGAGGACAGTTCCCGGGAGAGGAGCGGTGAGGTGCCGCATTTAGGGCAGAGATGTGTCCTCTGAATGGGGGTGTTAGATTAAGTGGATAAAAACAGGAAGGCCCAGGTGCATTAGCATTTCAGACAAGCACCGGATAATTTGTTGGAGTAGGTGTGATCCAAATATTTCATGTAATATATAACAAATTATGTGCTAACAAATGATCCATTGCTTACCTGAAATGATAATCTAGCCAGATGTTTCTGTATTCTACCTGACAGCCTAACGATGGGGCTCAAAGCATGAGCCAGCCTCTCACTCAGTTTACTCACCTTCAGAGTAGAGATAAAGGTCATGTACAGACTCTGCCCAAAAAATGTACACCCACTTCAGCAGCTCACCATATTATTAAACGTCTGGAAGCTCATGGCCACCACTTTGAGCACCTCTTATAGTTCTGGAGGCCAAAGGTAACTTGTATTAATCTCGTGATGCCCCAATAAATTTAGTATTAAAATATTTATCCAAGTTTTTCTTTTCCTGATGTATACTTTTTTGGCAGTCTCTTTCTCTCTCTCTCTCTCTCTCTCTC